GAGATCTGTCCATTGTGTCTCACTTTCTTTGATATCATTTAGGCATGATGCCATTCACAAATCTCCTTTAGTGCCTGTAGATTCATTGGAAAAGTCTTCTTCCTCTTTCAGTGTTCTGTACCCCTCAAGGAGGTGGCTGTGTATTTCATGGAAGGAGAATGGGCATTGTTGGATCCTGAACACAGAGCCCTGTATGGAGAAGTCATGTTGGAGAAATCAAGGAGTGTTGCCTGTCTGCATAAGAGCCCCTCTTTCTTCTGATCAAAAGAATAAGAGAGGGTTTTTCTAAAGCAGAACTAATCATTCTGGCTGATTCTCTCAAGATGTGCCAAACTATGGATTATCTTCTAGTTATAAGACAAAGGAAATCCATTACTCTGGTGCATGGAGAATAACAAGAGATAGATAAGGATCTACATAAATGTAGGATGAATGTAACTCTCATGTGAACTTTAAGGGAGACTTTTTAGTGAACTTTGCAGTTTCTGTTAAATCTCATCGGTAAGAAATTAACATTTAGTCTTCTATGATGGTTTCTCTCATCTTTTGCCGATCAGTATCATAATTCTATGTAACCTTGGTCACAAAGAATAGAAAAAGGAAAAGAAATATTGGAGATCTGCAAGAAGAAAGAAAGATCCCCATGTTCTGCCTTATTCTAATAATATTGTTGTCTCTTTTTTTCATTATTCCCCAAAGTAAACAATGAGTTGGGCAATAAAAATGATGAGAAGACAAGAATGTTGCCATTGCAAACCATCAAGAAGAGATATTTTAATATCCATGGGAACTAAAAAGATTTGAGGACCACCTATCCAGGATTTTGGAGGAGAAATCTGGTTCTCCTCAAAGTATAGGAATCCAAGACTTCCTGACCCAAGAAAATCTGAAAACAAACAAAAGGGGAAAATGCCTAAAGGGTAGGAAAAAATTCAGAGATGAATCTGATTTAAGGAATCATTGCAAAAAACCACATGAAAGAGAAAAAGTGTGAATGGAAAAGGTATGGAATGAGTTCTGAAGTGCCTCTTAGTTTATAACAAAATGGATCCACAGGGGAAAAGCCATATGAACACGAGGTCTGTGGAAAACACTTTCATGATCCCCTTTCCCTTACAAAGAATGAAAGGATTAAAGCGGGAGAGAAAACTTTAAATGGACACAGTGTGAACAGAACTTCAACCAAAACGGTCACCTTGCTTCCCAGAAAAGGATCCACAGAGGTGAAATATCATATAAATGCATTCTTTTCTGGTTACTGCAATAAGAGGAGCGATGGTAAGCGAGATGGCGTAATTCTATCCCCTTTGCTATTTACTTTCTCCACTTATACTATACTCTATATTTCTCCTATACCGATGTTCACTGTCCTGAGCAAAGTCTCCGTAACACAGGAGGGCAACAAGATGCCTTTGTCATAGCCGTATCAGGACACAGATCCTCATGGTTTCTTTAGAAAGTCCATGGGTGCACACACAGGCTCAGTGGGCTTAACAAAACATGCAGAGGCTTATTATTAATAATAAGCCAAGGGCTAAGAAGGAGCCAGAGTAGAAAACAAAGGTAGCTTGTGTTGGAACTGAGACATGCATTAAAAGGGCCATTCTCTTGGAACAGGGGTGTCAAACTCAATTGCACAGGGGGCCAAAATCCAAAACACACTTTAGGTCGCGGGCCGAAC